CCATGGGTATGGACTTCTGTAAACATTTATTGATCAGTAAAGATTTCTGTGGTTTACCATATGTGAGTTATACATACCTCAATTAATTTTTTTCTTTTTAATTTAACAAAAAAAAAACTAACTGAAGAACAGAAAACGAACTGGATTAGGGGCATAGATTAGATATGTGGCCGAGATAGACTTGTCACTACTTGGTCCTGGAACTAGAGCAATTAACCCGTCTATCCAACTAGCAGAACTGCACAATGACAAGCCACATCTTCCCAAGGCCTGTGACTAACCAGAACCTTTGAGTACTGTCAGGTCATTGGCTCCAAGGGAGAGAGCAAAGGGAGGAGTTGAGCATGCCCAGTTTCTTGTTCTCAGTACATCAATAAAATGAATCACTCTTCTCTTCCCAGTAGGTGAGTCAAAAATCCGAGGTGATACTTAATAGGGAGTTTCTTCAATAGAAGCATTAACTGAAGGGGAAGAGAGACGTTTCTCCCCAACTGTGACTTAACTTTAGTGTTCCTATGTGTAAACCAGTGATAATAAACTTATCTCATATAGTTGTGTAAAGAGTAAAAAAAGATAAGCTATGCGATTGGCTTTGCCAAGTACCAGTAAATGTAGAATTGGAAAAACAAAGCATAGAAACTTCAGACGGGCAAGGGATCTTCGAAAGATAATCTGATACACTTGTGGCATTTTTTTTTAAATTGGAAAACCGAGACCCAAGGAGGTCTAGACCCTTATCTAAGTTCCATGGCTTGTGGGAAATGTACTGTTAATGTGTTCTAGCAGAACCGCCTGTGGGTTCCAGGTGCTCATGTGCCTGGTGCAGAGTTCTTTCTGTTACACTGCTCTACAGAGTAGCCATCCTACGTGGCAGCAGACAGAATCGCCAACCCTTGTCCCGACCACCGTGTTTTCTGAAGCTACACAGTCAGTTGCTACCCCCGTGGAGGCCCTGTGTGCTGCCTTACTCAGGAAGCAATTTGTAGCCCTTATTGCACTGTAGCAATAGGAACAAGATTACTGCTTAGAATCAAGACAGCTATTTGCACAATCCACTCAAGTAGTTAGACAGGTATTCTTTTGAAGGTAAATAAACACAGGCAACTACAATTATTTTCTTCCATTTAGCATATTAGAAAAGGTAATGGTTTAATGGTACCCTAGTGGTCTGTAACAGTTAGCACACAGCAGAAAAAATGAATCATAAAAACCCCTTCTCACTAAAAACTCTGAGACTAGTGTTATGAAAAGGGACTAAACCCCAGGGAACCACCGTGTTTTCACCTTCCCACCAAGTGACAATATTATTAGTTTGGATTCTCTATTCACTGGTCATGAAAATATAGGATTTGGGGGAAACGGGAAAACCTGTGACATATTCTGTTTGTTCAGTGATAGATCCTTGCAACATTACCTGAGACAGTTGCTATGGCAAAGAAAATGGTCCTGTAAAGGCCAATTTTCGGACTCTAATGTTGCACCTTCCCAAATGCTAGTTCATACTGAGCTGGGGTAGTAGCTAGAGAGAGAGTTCTTCCTGATGGTGGTACCTCCTGCATGTGCAGACAGAGCCAGTGGACTTTCAGGGTAGGGAAGTGCATGTGCTTGCTTCAGATTCACACAAAACACACAAGCTGTTGGTGTTTATTTTGGAAAGGGGTGTGAATTACAAACATTTCCTGAAAACATGTGCCTACTAGCCTCCCGGCTCTCTGTATGATAAATATTACCAGGATGGGCTTCTTCGTTATAGATTGCCGTTAGAAGATTATGTGTCAGGACTTCTAGTCAGAGAGACAGCTGTGCACATCTAGAAGGATCCTAGGGAAAGCTTCAAACCAGCTTGGCAATGATACTGGTGCATAGCAGATGCCCTCTCCTCAGCCACCAGAAAAGTGCCCTTTCTGTAGATTTCTATATCTGCAACCACATTGCCACAGGGTGTAACAGAAAGAACAAAGATCAGGAGGGCATTTGGATACCTCTGCTCTTTCCTCACTTGTAAATGGTGAGATTAATGTCTATTTGGCGGGATTATCATGAACTCGTTATTTGAGCATTTATAAACAATCCAATAAATAGCAGCTAGTTTTAAGGTGTATATTTCCCATTAACATTAGATAAATTTAAAATTAGTTAAAATTGACAATATTCTACTGATTTTTATTATATATGTATGTATATATACATGTATTTTATATATGTAATATATTACCCATAATAACATCAGTAAATAGCTACAGTTAGAGGCTAGCATGGCTTAAGAAATGTGTCGCCGTTTGACCAGTCTGTCTTGTTTGCACCGATGCTTCCAGAATAATATTGCTTCACTCTCAAAAGTGACCCAGTTTGGACAATAACTTATATGATCACCCTAAATAAGGTTCAAAAGGAAACTACTGATTTTCAAGAAATCCAGGAACAGTTACAGCCTCAATGCTTAGATATAATATGTCCACTAGACAAACCATGGCTTAAAAAATTTGTACTAGGGACACCGACATAATTTAAAAAATATATAATAAATCTTTAATGGCAGTTACCAAACAAAAACAACAAACTCAGTTGTCATAAGGCTTGCCCCTGATAAGAGAATTTTCCATGAAGAACACCAGGGGTTTATTCTCATATTTTTCTGTACTTTGCTCCTGGGTTGACTTTAATAACTGCCACTTGAAGCAGGTGGCTTTAGTATTAACTAGGACCCTTTAAGTGGCTGCTGCAGTGAAGGTTAATTTTGCCTCTCAGTTTTTGTCTGTTCTTTTTTTCTTTCTTTCTTTACTTCCTGGTAACATATCTAATTCTAGTAGCTTTAACATATAGCTCTAGCACTTGAAAGTTTCAAACAGTGTTTAAAGCCTTGTTTAAAACTCACCAGACAGAGACACCTAGGTGGCTCAGTAGGTTAAGCATCCAACTTTGGCTCAGATCGTGATCTCATGGTTTGTGAGTTCAAGCCCCATGTCAGGCTCTGTGCAGACAGCTCAGAGCCTGGAGCCTACTTTGGATTCTGTGTCTCCTTCTCTCTCTGCCTCTCCCCCACTCATACTCTGTCTCTCTCTACCAAAAATAAACATATAAATAAATAAATAAATAAATAAATAAATAAATCTCACCAGATAGATGACATTAATTTATCTCCTTTATACCCTAATATAAAAGAGAAGGAAAGGAAATTGACGGTAAGAGCCAAGGGTTCTGGGTGACAGACATAAGTCACCCTGTTTTAATGACTTAGCAGTTTTTGCAAGGATGTTTGCTTTCTGCTGTACATAACTTTCTATAGTTGTTCTGTGTAGTTTGACTTCAAAGCACTTTCTGCCTGTCATACTCTTTATTTCCTCTCAGAAAATATCCTTTCAAATGAGAAAATATTACTTTAATAAATCACATTTTTAATAATTTCCTATTAAGCAACATTGGAAGATGAGGTAAAATTGAATGTTTCCCCTCTTCAGCCTGGCCCCAGTATTTTGTATCTTATGCTTAGGGTAGATACAAGTCCTGTATCTTTTTCACATTTTCAACTATATCTAAGTAGTTAAGCTTTTTTTAAAAGTTTATTTATTTATTTTTGAGAGAAAAAGAGAGTAGAGAGGGGTGGGGGGTGGGGGAGAGAGAAAGAGAGAGAGAGAGGGAGAGAGAGAAGATCCTAAACAGGCTCTATGCTCAGCATGGAGCCTGACACGGGGCTGGATTCATGACCTGGGATCATGACCTGAGCCGAAATCAAGAGTCAGACGCTCAACCAACTGGTCCACCCAACAGTTAAGCTTTTAAAAATAACTTTTAGAAATGTCTTATTTCATCTCAAGCTCAACATCAGTATCAAGACTCTTTACCTTCTCTTATAAGCACTCCAACCTTCTTTAACTTCTCTGCTGCTCTCGGGCTGGAACTTTAGTGTCCAGTGGCCTATCTAGGCTGGCACAAAGAGGTCATCTGGTTGGGGTGCAAGGGGCCTTGTGGTGTTCTCAGTCCCATCAATAGCTAAACTCACCACCTTTCCCACCTTCTGGCACCTGGAACACACACCATAGGCCTCCCACCCCCCAGAAACGATCAGTCTGGGTGGGGGGAGGGGAGGAAAAGCCCACAAAGTAGACAAAAAGCAAGTTTCTGGAACTAAATACACCATCTCTCAATTATGCCAGTGATGTGTTTCAAATCGATTTTGTTTTACAAACCTGTTATTTTTTTTTTCAACAAATCCAGTTGGTTTCTGAATTTCTCATCCATACATAAGTCCTCAAATTTACACTTCTGATATGGAGCTCATATCTAAGTCGATACTGTTCTTGTGAAACTCGTTTGGCAATTGGGGAACTTTACATCACTTTTGACACAGGTGAAAATGATTGCAGGGTTTTTGAAATTCACTGGTAAATGTTAAATGTTAAAAGTAAGTGTCTAGTATGACTTTTCCATCAAGAAACAATTTACCTCGGTTTCCAATAATCAGCAAATCTGATTCAAATATTTCTATACTGTCAACTATATATAAGGAGAGATTTATACTATCTAGTTCTTACTCTGGATTTTTGTGGCCCTAGATATAAAAAAATTAGTCGAATCATCAAAAGAAAATATCAGGGCTTAGGTAATGCACAAACTGAGTTATTATAGATTGTGCATTGTCATAGAGGATATTAAAAATGTACCGTGATCTAGGGAGACTTTTAATATAAGTTTCTGTGAGCCAAGAGAGAATAAGAGTTATTTTCATTGCTCCTGAAGGATTTCCTTGCAATATTTGAAAGTTCTTTATTTTCACCTGTATGGAGTTTGTGTCATATGTTATAAAACCATTATTGAATTCAGAAAATAAAATTGAATAAGCTATTTGCAGCTAGAATTAGTGCTAGTCACAAGTACAAGGCTTGTACAAGTGGACTTGGCTTTTCCTTCCTCTGAGAGCCCTGAAAAGCATTTGAGAATAAAACATGTGTTCCGAGACCTCATTATTGCAACCTTGGTAGCAGTCTGTTTTTGTGTTGCAGGCAATGAAAGCTTAGAAGAAAACTATGTCCAGGACAGTAAGATGGGGTTTGTCATCAACGCCATCTACGCCATGGCTCACGGGTTACAGAACATGCACCATGCCCTCTGCCCGGGCCACGTGGGCCTCTGTGATGCCATGAAGCCCATCGACGGTAGCAAACTCCTGGACTTCCTCATCAAGTCCACATTCATCGGTGTGTCTGGAGAGGAAGTGTGGTTTGATGAGAAAGGGGATGCTCCTGGAAGGTAAAGCCATCTGTTCTGTATTGGGTTCAGATAACCGTGGGACCCTCTCCGAGTAGACAGATGGCAACTCTGGGCCCTTTGTTTCTATGGTTTCCAGGTGTCAGGAGAATAGATATGACTTAATAGATAAGAAGATAGGGCTAATCTCAGTTGGACGTTATGTCATAAAACATTGAAAACTTACTGGTAAACCCACAATCCTGTATTCTTCCAGTGGATCCCCCCTACCCAGCTATCACCCCAGCCCTTCCCTCAGGATGTGTACAAGCCCAGGAAACTGGAAAGATGACACCTGGGTGGCAGGACCCTCTCTGGCAGTGCTAACACCAGACCAGCATCTCTCTGATCGGTTGGAAGGCCATGCTGGTTGTGTAATATGCTTTTTTAAAGGCTTACTTATTTATTTTGAGAGAGAGGGAGAAAGTGAGCAGAGGAGGGACAGAGTGATAGAGGGGGAGAGAGAGAGAGAAAGAGAGAGAGAAAGAGAGAGAGAGAGAGAGAGAGAGAGAGAACCCCAAGCAGTTTCCACGCTGTTGGCGCAAAGCCTGATGTGGGGCTCAATCCCACAAACCATGAGATCAATACCTGAGCTGAGATCAAGAGTCAGACTCTTAATTGACTGAACCACCCAGGCGCCCCTGGTTGTGTAATATTTTAATAAGAGCTTAATATTTGAAGAGTACCAAATCCTCTTCATGTATCCCCTCTTCTCAGGCTAACTTATATTCCTGCTAATATGTCTCTTGAAACAAAACAAGAAAAAAGAATTTTCTTTCTGGTATCGAATCTTTATGGCTTCCAAAGAATCAAGAAACAAAGAAAAATTAAACCTAACTAATATGTATATTTTCCCCCATATCATTTTATACGCTGTTCTGCAACAGCTGCTTTTATAACATCAGTTAGCTCACATATGATTGGTAGGGAATGATGTCAGTTTAAAGTGCAGTTTTCCAGGCATACAAACAAACTGATGTTCGTTCACATGAATGTTTTTTTCTAGGCAAGGGATAATCAGAATCGCAGGGGAAGATTAAAGTCTGCAGCAGGAAAGAAAAAGGCCCTCAGCTTGGCTGCTATGCAGTATGCCCACAATCTTGTTTTGTTTTTTTTTTTTTCTTCTCTGTCTCTCTCTCTCATAAGCCCTGTTATCTTTCAGTATATGATTTTACAGAATGAGAAATTTTAGGAAAGCATATGTTGTGCTAAAATGGAACATCAAATCATTTAATCCTCATTGCTATAGGCATATCATTATCCTCTTTTACAGATGAGAAACTGAGTGTCAGAGAAACTAAAAAACTCACCTAAATTCATGTAGAGAGTAGCTGGTAGAGGCAGTGCTGTCTGGATCTGAAGCCTATAATCTTTCTGCCATATCGCCCTGCCTTTTAGCTAATCCTAAAATTGGGCAAAGTTGCTGGCAGCCTTCTTAATGTCATTTCAGAGGTACTGTAAGAGACTATCTGACCCTAAATAATTCTTGACATATCTCTTCCTATCATGTAAGCTTAAAGTTCTGTGTTCAGAGAGTGCCTTGTGGGGATTCTCCCTGTGAAAATCCAACAGCCCTGGGAAGGATAAGTGACATAAGTAATTGTCAGCAATTACAATGATGGATTTATCAGATTCCTTCCCGGCTGCAGTTAGGTAGGAGGAGATTTATATCAAAACGTGAGTGGGGTGGATGGAATGATTTCGGGCCTGGGAATGTGGAAAACTTCCAGGTGCTGGGCACCTTAGGAAACTGTACCAAAGGGAACAAGTGGACCTGGGATTCAGAGCACTGACCACTCTCCCCTTTAAGCGCCTGGTTGTAATCCCGGGTTCCACTGGAAACTGGGATCTGTACACTGTCAGATTTGGTATGGAAGCCTTCCTTCATGATTCTGTAAAAGGATATATACAATGTGCCTAGTACAAGGCCAGATGAATTTTTTTTAAGTTTGTTTGTTTGTTTGTTTATTTTGAGAAAAAGAGAGTAAGTGGGAGAAGGGCAGAGAGAGAGAGACAGAGAATCCCAAACAAGCTCCACACAGCCAGTGCAGAGCCAGGTACATCACTCGAGCTCATGAACATGAGATTATGACCTAAGCTGAAACCAAGAGTTGGATGCTTAGCTGACTGAGCCACCCAGGCACCCCTCCAGATGCATTTTAGACACTCCATACATGAGTTTCCTCCTGATCTCTTTATTTGTAAGTTATCCAAAATATAGGCACGTACTTTTAGCTGGTTTTTCCTCTGTGCAATTACATATTTAAATCATGAGCTTTCCTCTGGGTCCCTTTCCAGGATCATTTCCTCATGCTTGAAACTGGTCATCTTATTCTGTGTTCAGTTTTGGTCTCAACCACCTCCCTCTGCTTCCATCCCCTCTTATACCACCATTCATGCTTTTGGTCCCTCTTGTAATTATTTTAGTTAATCATCATGCAACATAAACTGAGTGCATTGAGAGGGTACTATAAAATTGTAATTTACAGCATATGGATATTCCAAATAAATGCCAACATGCTGAGAAGAGACTCTAGGGTCAAGAGAAAAGAGCGGTGTTCATTAACACACATAGCACAGGAGAAGGCTCTATTTAGTATCTCATGTTTTTCCCTTGGTATCTTTCAGTATTTTTTTTCCTCCAGCTTTTGTGACTTTTTGAAAATGTGTTTTCATACCAAAATATTACAAATTTTTCAGTTTCTAAATGCTAACGAAGTGTGAATTGATCTCTCCTTTTGAAGAGCAAATGTTGAAATAAGTCTTAGGAAACTGATCTATAGGAAAAAGATACTCTAAAGCTGGCATTGCACCAAAGCCTTCGCTGAAAGTATGTATGGAAAGTCAATAACAATATGGGGTAAAACATAAAAATTAAGGGAAATAAAAATGGAAATTATTCACCAAACATTCACAGCAGGTTCTATAACCATAATGAGTTTAAAATGGAAACATTTTGGAGGTATATATTAGCATCATTGATCAGCAAGATGAATAGGGGCCGATAGCCCACAATCAATACCCACTTGGGTGTCACTCAGAGAGCCACTGAGAAGAACATGTGGGTATGGCTCAGCAACAAGAAGAATCAGAACTTTTATTTATTAGCCAAAAATCTGAACAACAAAGAAATTAATAATATGCTCCAGGTGTGCCATTTTCCTTTCTCACGTGGTAAGGTCTCTTCTGGAAAATGAGGAAAAACTTCTTTCGCTCTCCCAGAGTCCCCTTTCCCTTTGGAGAAATTGCCAGAATTTGGATGTGGAGAAGTCACTAGTCACCCTGTGGGTGGCAGAATGTGTTTGCACGTTAAGAACAGGCAGGAAAGCCAACAAAGGATAGTAGTTGTCTAAATAAAGAACTAAGACATTTATAGCAAATAGGTTTTGGAAGCCAACTAAGGTTGACAATAGCTTCCTGAGAGTGCTGGACTGGGACTCTGAGTCTGCATAGGGTTTAGAGAGAAAGAATTCCAGAATGGATTAGGTAAGGGTGTGGGGGGTTGGAAGATGAGGAAGAGGAATGCATATTAGTTAATTGCCATCTATTTCCTCAGGTCCAGCACAAAGAGAAAGAGACCATCCCTCTCTATTCTAGGGCAGCATGGTGGGAACTCTGCGTAGGTATTACAGCAAAGAGAATTCCACTTTGCAAAACCAGAAAGGGAGAGTCAGACATACATTTTTGGGAAACTGCCAAATGAGTTATAGTTTACTCGGAGTAAAGAGCAACATGGAGAGAAGATTGAAGAAGGCCAGAGAATTTGCAAAGACTGAGAGAGAAATAGCTGTGCAAGTATAAAAATGTTCTCCAGTTTTCGTACAGTAATGGAAATAACTAGAGTATTTTAGGGCATTCATAGTAATACAAATATGAATGATATAGTGATATTGGCTTACGTATGCATTTGTCCCAGTTGTAAAATAGTTTTTTTTACATGCCTTATGTCAATAAATCCCCACAAGAACCCTGTGAGCCTTTAAGCGGTTAGTGAAATTCCTAAGTAGTATAATCTACTGTTAAAATGTTAGAAAAGAGATTCTAGCTTATGCATTCTAATGCCAAGTCCTGTGCTCTTTTCATCGCATTGGAGAATGTTCTCCATTGCCCATGCTGGAAAATGATGAGGTCTGGCCCCCAAAGCACCCTCTGGCTGCAGTGTGAGTTTCTAAATGTAGATGTTCCCATAGTGTACCATTGCAGCATTTGAAATAACTGAAGTAACTGACACCGATTATTTGGATTCAGAAATGTTTGTCCTAATCAGGGAAGAGACCAGTTTAAATGTCAGTGCTCAAGATGCTAAATCCCCAACATCCTTGTTAATTAAAGCTGCTGTTTCTCAGATTTCTTGCTTTATTAGCACCTAAAATAGGTTCCAGACTTGGTAAAACTCACTTCTTTTGATCCAGTGTAATGAAAATGGCAACAGAATGTGAAAAAGAACATCAGAATGACAGTAATCAAGTTAAGAGATTAATAGTCTCCGGGCACCTGGATGGCTCAGTCAGTTGGACGTCTGACTCTTGATCTCTGCTTAGGTTGTGATCTCATGGTTTGAGATGAAGCCCCCACATCAGGCTCTGCGCTGACAGCATGGAGCCTGCTTGGGATTCTCTCTCCTCCTCTCTCATTCTGCCTCCCCCTGACTTGCATGCACACTCTCTCTCTCAAAAGAAATAAATAAACATTAAAAAAAAGAAATTGGGGTGCCTGAGTGGCTCAGTCAGTTAAGCGTCTGATTTCAGCTCAGGTCATGATCTCGCGGTTTGTGAGTTTGAGCCCTGTGTGGGGCTCTGTGCTGACAGCTCGGAGCCTGGAGCCTGCTTCGGATACTGTGTCTCCCTCTCTCTCTGCCCCTCCCCCACTTGCACTCTGTCTCTCTCTCTCTCTCAAAAATAAATGGACATTAGACAATTAAAAAAGAAAAGAAAAGAAATCAGTGTTCTCAAGAATCACGACTTGTTCAAAGAATAACTTAGTGAATAATGATTTGAAGGAGATGATAATCAGCTCAACACATATAGGATTAGTTTTGAATAGAATAAGCAGAGAGAAAAGTGCAGGAGTAATACATTCTTTAGCAAATATGGACAATACACAGAGACTAAAGAAGGAAACACACATTTTGGAAAATTGGGAGAAACATTAGAAACAAACGAAAATATTGACAAGCGTTAGGCCGTGAGATAATTCTAGCTTTTTTATCTCCCTTCTCTCTATGACATCTATTTACCAAATTTCTTTGTTTTCTAGATCATGTCCATATTGTCCAAGGCACATGTGTTGTTTTCCCTGTAGGTATGATATCATGAACCTGCAGTACACCGAAGCTAATCGCTATGACTATGTACATGTCGGAACCTGGCACGAAGGCGTGTTGAACATCGATGATTACAAAATCCAAATGAACAAGAGTGGAATGGTGCGGTCTGTGTGCAGTGAACCTTGCTTAAAGGGTCAAATTAAGGTAAGCTGACCACAAAAGCTTTCTTAGACAGAATGAGGCCTCCTGCATGGACTACAGAAAGAAAAACAGACATTTTTCTTAGACAAGCCTGTCCAGAAGGGATATACCAGGCTTACTGTTTTTGTTCTTGTGTTTAGCTAAAATTGGAAAAACAAAGGAAGATTAGGAAATGAAATAGGCAAACCATTCGAATGTTGGAGAATAGTCCTTTGAATCGCAATGATGAGCCTGACCCTTCAATTTAATCTAGAAAGGGAAGGGACAAATACTTGAATATAAAAATTGAAACAGAAGTAAATGTGGACACCAAAACCAATGTACCGCTTAGTCATAGTTCTAGCTATTGTTAAAGAGAGCAGAAGCTGAACAATACTAAATAAGCACGTAATTAACATAAAAGAAGCTGCAAGGAGCTAACGCAGAAGCTGCTTATCATTTCTCTTTTCATCGCCACGTTCTTTGATTTTCCTGAAACTGACATTGTCTAGCCAAGAGAGAGTCCTCACTTCCTAGTTATTCTGAGAAGCTTTTTTATCAGCCTGGGGCAAGTGAGGAACCACGATATTGCTGTATGCATAACAGTAGAGTAAATAAACATCAAATATCGAACATTTGGCTGGACGTGCTAGAGAGGATTCTCAGTGAGGAAGGCATGGGAACAGCGCTTCTCTGTATCTCATGCTATTTAAAACCACACTGGATGATGCACTAGGAAATGGAGTGTAGGGACGTGATCGCCAACTGGCAAGAGTATGGGTGAAATGACCTGGTAGGTCTTTCCCCTCTCTAATTTTCTGTGATTCATCTCTGGGAGCAGACAGACTGTCACATAAATGTCACACAGCACAGCTGGGCTGGAGGCGGTACCGGGTGAGGCACTGGCAGTCTGGCCATGCCACCATGCCACCTGCCATTCTCATTCTCAGGAGCTGGGGAACCACCCCTGTAGGAAGAAGCCCTGAGTAGTACACTGAGGGATCTTGGAGCAAGAGTGTAGTCATGTGTGGAAGTGCTGGTGCAGAAACTGGAAAAGCCCAGCCTCTATTGGTCAGTGAAAGCAGAGGATTTGGAAGTTGTAACATCTTTTTTTTTTTT